GTTGCAAGCGGATTTATTGCTGAAAACTAAAATTAAAGAAACAATGCAATTAAAAAATCGGTTTTTGTGCTTATTCACAAATGTCAAAACAATTATTATATTTAGGATATATTTAATGATTATGACGAGAAAAAGTTTATAAATTTATAAAAAGGTTATTGTTTTTGTATAAAATGTTAGATTAGTCTGACATTTGGCAATTCTTGAATAAATAAAGTTTCCTCGAAAGGTTAAATGGATAGACTGCGTACGTATTGGTAGCTTAAAATTTAAGATAATTTTGATTTAGTAAAAAAAATTACAGGTACCTGTATAAATAATTAAACATCACATCAATCCTAATTAGAAAAAAATAATACATATTAATTAAATAAGATATTTATCAATCGTACAGTATTATTATGAATTAAAATATCCATCATAATATATGAAGGGAGTTCAAATGAATGTCATTATGAACAAAAATATAATTTTTAAGAAGTATTTAAAATTTCTGTTCTTTAAAGTTTTTAAGTATTGTGTTAGTCATATTTATTGGTAAAAATAAATGAATGATCCATTGATGACGGATATCTGCAGGATCATGAAAAATGCTACAAGTACATAATAAATGTACATAGAGATGTACATAACATTCACATCGAGTGGGTCCCACTTGATTTATTTATTTTTTTATAAGTCTACTCAATATGAATATTATGTACACCTCTATGTACGATAGTATGTGCTTATAGCATTACTCATCTATCATATATACGCGGTAAAAACAAAAGTACTTTTTGTACTTTCAAGATTGATATTAGATCTGAATAATTTGCAACTTTCAACAAAGGTGTGGCAACGAATGAATAGCCTCGCGTGTTCTTATTTTTTTTATTGATAGAGATTAAAAGTAGACTCACTCAATGTGATATGTATTTTTGTTATGTACTTGTGACAATTTTTTTAAAATTAATAAATAGGACTGGTGCTTTGTGTGAATTTTTAACCGTGAATGTAGATTTGAAGTTTTATATATACTAGTAATCTGCACATATATAAATAAAATATTGTGTACTATATGATATTTAATGTTATAAGTTAGATAATGAGTACATCTAATTTTAAAATTCTAAAAATTAATAAAAAATGAACAATATAAATATAAATTAATTGCACAACTTATGTAAGAATAACTATATATATTTATCATATAATTGAAATAAATAATATATTTTTGAAGAGATCTGGACTAACTAAACTAATTGACTGTTATTTATTATTATTACTAGTATTCATCCTGTGCATATGCACAAAGAAAAATAAAAATTTATATATTATATGTATGTATATAATATATAATTATATAAAACTTTATATTAGATAATGGATGTATTACATTTAAAATTTTGACTATATGCAAATGTGTAATACAAATATAAATTATTTAACTTACGTATGAATCTTTATATTGACGCCATAAATTTTAATGGACAATATAATTTAGTAATTTAGAGAGGCCATACAATTAATTCGTTAGAAAAGTAATACAATTATTTTATTATTGTTTTATCAATTGTTTTTGTGATTTTAAGTTGTTTAATTATGACACTCATGTCAATTACTAATATTAGATAAAAATCGCTTAAAATGAAAAAAAATATATTTTATTTTAGAAAAAAGTATTTTAAATAAAAAAAGTTGCAATACAATTTTTTATAAGCATGTAACTTCTACATACTATTTAATGTAAAATTATAATCAGTTAGTGTTAGTAGTAATATCATATAATAAAATAGTTTAAAATCGTTATTACACTTTATTAATGTAAAATGTAACTAGTACAACGCCCCTATATTACACGGGTGCTTGTTAAAAAAATATTATTATAAAAATTATTTTAAATTTTATTTACCTTTT